AAAAAAAAAAAAAAAAAAAAAAAAACACTGACATACTGAAACATTGGAATCATACAAGACCTCAATAAAACTGGCGTACTGCTAGTGAGATGAACTGCAGGCTATATTTCCAAAGGAAATTTGTCTTTCAGGGCACCCTTTATGTCCAACAACATCCCAAATAAAGCCATCTGTAGATTGTAACTTGACCTCTTTTGTTTTAATTGCCCTCCGGCCGAGGAATTATTGACTTGTCGCGCAAAGTAACGAGTGAGCTACAAATCAGAGAGAATCGAATCAACAAGCGATCAATTAATCCCAATTATTTATTTATGGGACTTCGATCGTTTTCCCGGCTGAGATGCGTGGCATTGAGTTAAGTATCCACACTGTATTGAACCGGTTCGGTATCGACTTTGCGGTTTGATTACGCGAAATGCTCACTTTAATGCGGCATTGAGTGGTCTGCAGCATTGAAAATGGCTTACTTGGAGAGTGGCGTTGTTAAGATTCCACGTGGTGCTAAGAGAGATACCTGTATTCCTAATCACCAAAAGGTGATGAATTTTGCACTGAAATATGTTAATCAAAGCATTCGGACTTATTGATTAACATTCAGAGCGGTGTTAACGGACACACTTTCATGTGCTAAGCATGACTTAAAGCTGTCTTAAATATCCAAGTAAAGCTGACATCTTAGGTCTCTTGATATTTATCCATTGATGGGTTCTTTTCTGTGAAAAAAATTGCCAAAACCGGTAAACGCACCTCTGCGACGTTTTCCAACGCCCAAGCAACCGACTTATCACGTATAAAGTTATGAAAATGTGCGTTAGACGTTCTTGTCTTCCACGAGAAAAAATTCATTGCATTTTTTATCGCTTCATTTTTTTTCATATTATAAAATGGATCATATACGAGTATAATACTGTAAATAAAGCCTGGTTATTCCAGATCAATATTTCATACAGGTCGACCGAGGTTAATTAAGACTTCCATGTATACACAGTGTAAACAAATGATTGGGGCATGATCTTTAAAACGACATTATTTGCCTTTAACACATGTTAATGAACACCGATTAAATACAGTTCATCTATGATCCTGTGATAACGACGGTGCAGAAAAATGTGCTCTGGGTCTTAGCCTAGATTTTGTGGGACAGGACCTTCGATCATGTCTACCTAAGCAAGGTGTTTAAATTCAATTAATTAATGTTTGGGCCTTACTGTCAGGACGCTTGAGTGGGTATATGCAACCTATTGTTGCGTTATCTATCACGCCACCACCGTTAACTAATTTTCGTGTAATAATAATAATAATAATAATAATAATAATAATAATAATAATAATAATAATCCTAAATAACGAATTTCAATTGGGATATGTAAAGAATCCAAATACCATTCATTAAAGGATAAAAAATTAAAGATAGGGGACTTAGGGATGCTTGTCTTCTTTTAAAATATGGGCAAACGTAAGCTTTGGGCATACCGGTACCTTGACTGAAATGGCCTAGGCTTGCAAAATGTTAAAAGATGATGATGATGAGATCGACGACATATAGACATGTTTGTTCGCTTTACAAGCAAAATCCAAGAGATCTAGATCTACCCGAGCTGAGCATGTATAGTGTCGTTAAAACTAAGGTGGGAGGGAAGATCTTAACGTTCAAATTTTCTCAGACTATCTGTGGGTCTGTAATTTGTAAAAACATATCCATTTACTGCCCTAATCTTGTTGTTCTCAATCTATATCAGTGCCGCAGTTCGATTCAAACGGCAATTAGGTTAGTAAGTGGTGATTTTGTCGGATAAAATCGATGAAAAAGGGGGCTGTTTCTTGAATAACTTTCAGATGCACTGCAAGGTCAGACGCGTGGGGTTTAAGTTGATTAAAAGAAAAGTTGAGCTTGCTAGTTTACTCAATATGGCCAGGCTATCTGAGAAGAATAGCACCCTTAATAATTCTCTTGCTTCGGTCATGTTCGACAAAGAGCATTTCAAATGACTGCGTTTAAGACATTTTCAAGGAAATGACCACAGTCGATCTGTTGAAGTACACCCGACTTGCAAGGGGTCAAAATAGATGGGCGTGAAAATCTAATTTCAGTAAATCAATACGGGTATGCGTGCTAGTATAAACCTGTACATGTATGTTCAGTATTTTTGCGTGTGCGTGTGTGTATCTACACCTGTGTTTGTTTGTAAGTTATTAATTTGTGTATAAAAGGCATGTGTCCCTGGTATTCTGAAGGGAGTATGTCCAAACCGCATGGCCGTTTGAGTCCGGTATAACAATGTTGGGTAGCATGTTGATCCACGTTCACACTTTGTTGTAGGAAATCCCATATATTATATCAGTTCTTCCCTCTTCGACTCAATGTATTCGTACCTACATGTACATGTACAAGCCGGAAGAGGTTACAGACGAGATGTCCGACACACAGAAAAAAAGGTTGCTATTACTGGATCGCCCTGGGAAATTACAGCATGAATACTAAATTGAAGCTGAGTGCTTAGATAGAGTGTATTTCTTTATTATTCCGAACGCGTCTGTATGGCGCGTGGCCTTTATCTGTCAATTTGCCTAATGAACAGCAATAGAGACGAGAGGTGATCAAACATTACAGGGAGAGAAGACGAAGCATTTATGTTCGAATTAATAAAGTGGTACATGTAGAAACAGGTTGTTCAAATAATATATGAGCATGCAAACAAGCAAACGGGTGAAAAGACAGGCGTACGAAACACGCACAAAGACACGCAGAGAGAGAGAGAGAGAGAGAGAGAGAGAGAGAGAGAGTAGGGCAGGGGTAGGGAAGGAGTGACAAAAGCGCTAGACATAGGTGGAAAAGTAGGATACCATTCTTATAGAAGAGAATGCAAACTATCATCCCGGTGTGACAGGAATGGTCGTCCGACTGGAACTGTAGTCCGTTCCCCATTACTTTGTACAGGTAACATTCTTCAATTCGTCCCATATACTAACACCAATACTCCGACTAAACCTAACCTGCACTAATCATATGGGACCCCGGACTTCCATTCCTAGGACTACCATTCCTGTGACACCGGCAAGATAAAAGGGTAATTTTTTTGCACAGATAGGATAAGAATCGGGAGTTATGCCTAAAACCGGGCATTTACCATTTTATTTTTTTGTTTTTGGTATCCATCCAAAGGCCT